AGCAAAAGGCAGTAACTGGTGGTGATGCTTGCCCTTTCCAGAGCAGGACAGTGAGTGTGGTACAGCACAATACATGTCCAAAGCATGCGAGGGCTGGGCAGTGTGAACTCTCAGCATCTGTGGTGTGATCTCAGTGCCTGTCCTCCTTGCCTCTACTCTCAGGTTTATGGGTGACAATTACCTCTGCTTCCTTTTCTTGAGGACATCAAGACTAGACGTGGTCAGGGCTGACTCTCACATAATGACCAGCACAGGGAAACACCAGCTCTGGCCTGTGAATTCAGCAGTTGAGTCATTTGTGGAGATGACTCGTTTCTTTGAGGTCACCTTCTAAGAAACAAGCTTGGACAGTGAACTGAGCACTTGCAAGGCTTGGATACTGATATTCCCTGGAGGAGGCAAGCAGAGACAGAGCCAGAGAGGAAGGGAGGGAAAGAGGAATGGAGCAAAAACGGGAGAGAGGGAGGAATGGAGGGAGAGAGGGAGGGAGAAGAGAAGAAAATCTCATCTCTTCTGCATTCTCAGCCTCTGCCAGGGCATGGCTTTACAGGGCATAGTCTGTGGCTGTTCAGTTCTTGAGAGGGGAGAAAAGATTTCTAAGAGCAGGTCCTGGAACCAACATTACGGGACTTTGAATGTTCACCATCTCAGAAGCCTGAGGCCAACTAACAGCAGGAACCTAAGCAGGGCAGTGCTCATGAACTGGCTTGCTTCTCTCCCCTAAGCACCTGTGCAACTTAGCTTACTTACCTGGCTTGGTAAGGGAAGAGCATCACCCTCATTTGGGAAACAACTGGCATGCTATCTAAAACAATCTCAAGGAGAGAGGAGCAGCCATTGCAAGCACCAGTAGAAGAGCAAGAGGTAGAAAGGATGGCGACCAGTAACAACTCCAAGGCCAGTAGTATGCTGGGGTCTGTCCTTCCTATAAATGTGATTAAGGAGCTGGTGAAGTGATTGTAGAAGAAATCCATCAAACGAGTAGGAACAAATCTCTGGGACCTGGTAGTCCCAGAGGGCTGCAGAACTCTGCAACATGCAAAGGCACACATCTGAGCTAAGCACAGAGTGAGACCCAACATCCCACCTGCCATGGCTGGGAAGAGAGGTGAATCTGATGCTCGTTTTTACAAAAGGCTCCAGTGAAGACCCAAGAAACTATAAATGAGGAAATGTTCATTCCAGTTTGCAAATAAGTTGAATAGATTTAGCAGCTATATGGAGGAATTCTATGTGTGAGGGTTACCGTGCCCACCAATTGCTGGGAGAAGGCTCCTTAGCAGAAACGTTAGGGAAAAGGACTGATGATTCAAAATGACTAAAGCAATTAGAAGTAAATCTTCCTGCAAGCAGTTGCAGAATGCTCTCTCCATGCTGAATGCCTGAAAGATGAAACATCAGATGAGATTCAACATCTGTACATGTAAATAATGCACAGAGCAGGGAAGAGAAATGACCAGTCCATGAATTGCCACAGCCAAGAGCCCAGCCTTAGAAATTACCCCTTAAGGAAGAGAAACTGGGGTCACTTCAAACTTGAGAAATGGCAGTCCAATGGCTAGTGACTGGCTGCCAGAGTGACCAGTACAATGTCTTAAAGCTCCTCCAGCTCCAGCCCCTGCCACGGGCAGGGACACCTTCCACTAGAGCAGCTTGCTCCAAGCCCTGTGTCCAACCTGCCCTTGAACACTGCCAGGGATGGGGCAGCCACAGCTTCTCTGGGCACCCTGTGCCAGCACCTCAGCACCCTCACAGGGAAGAGCTTCTGCCTTAGATCTAACCTGAATCTCCCCTGTTTAAGTTTAATGGGCTCCATCTGCTGCTCTCTGGCCATCGTCCCCAGCTGAGGCAGGCCACATACCAGTATCTTGAATGTGCTGGGATTTTACTCAACGGTTCACTTTTTCAGCTGTGCCTTTTGTAGCCTCTACCCCACCTAAAGAAATAAAATAAGTAAATATAGTGCTTGCTGGTTTTTCTTGCTGATCCTTGTTCACCTTTTCTACCCCCTTTTCTTGTGTCTTCCTGATTTTGACTCATCTCAGCCTCAGTCATATCAATCCTTTGCTTCCTGCCTTGGAACAGCTCTGAGTTCTCCCTGCATTTGTGTGGGACCATGTGAAAAAATGTTGGTTCTGGTTTATTCACTGCTTTAGAGGCACCTCCAGAGTGCTTGGAAGAATTATGAGCCCTGGATAGAGCCTTTATCCGTCTCACCCACCAATCATTATAGTTAAGGGGAAAAATCATTCAGTTAAGGGGAAAAAAGTCCTTTGTCTTCATTTATCATTCAGGCAGGGAACACATCTCCATGAAAGAGGGAAGACTGCAATACTCAAGAACTTCAGGGTTCCAAAAGGCTCCTGCACTGTCTACATCCCCCATGTGGGGTCTTGTGACAACTCCTTTTCTGTGTACAGGTGTCAGCAGGGAAAATGTGCTGGTGGTGGAGGTGATGGGAGAATCCCATCCAGCAACGCCCTGCAGCTGGGACCAGGCCTGTCCTGCCAGCCTCCTCAAGCGTTTGGTACCAGACCTGGAGCTCCTGTGTCCATCCTTCACACCTGCAGATAGTGCTGAAGGGGAAGAGGGTCAGTCCCAGGGGGAATCAGACAAGGTGCTGTGCACCTTGGGTAGCTCATCCAAGCCATCTCTGCTGATGGCCTTTTTCTGCCACAGGGAGATCCACCCCAAGCAGGATCACACCGTACAGTGTCTCCCTTGCGCTCCACTCCTCTTCCACTGAACTCCAAAGGCTGGAGATGGACACTTGCAGACAGAAAAGGTTACGAACATGAACCATTCCAGCAGCAGCAAGAGGGGCTGAGAAAGCAGAGCTCATTTCCACAGGAAGAGGCAGCACTGGAGTGAAAAAGTCCTGGACGCCCTTCCTCTGGGCTGCTGGATGACATGTGCATTGCTGTGGCTGGTGTGGAACCAGGGAAACATCCATCACCTCTGCAAATGGTCCTGAAGGGGTAGAGGGACAGACCAAGGGTGAGATCAGCATGAGGTGCTGCATCAACAGAGCCTCCTCAGGCAGGTCCAGCTAATGCACAGTGGAGGAGACATTAGGAAGCAGCAGGTTCCAAAGGGAGCAGGGATACCTGAGCAGGTCTTTGGCCAGATGTTAGGAATATCCACTGCACCATATGTAGCATGACCAGGAAATCACATCCAGCCCAAGACAGGTAGAGGGCTTGGCTCAGGACATCATGGGCTACGTGAGGTCCCCCAGCACTTATAACTGCCAGGGCACTTCCAGAATCAGAGCTTCTGGGGCCACTGAGTTTCTAAGGCCTCTGGTGACATGGGCCATCTGAAGTGGAAGTCTGTCTGGAAGCATATCTGGAAGTCCTGAAATTCCTGTCACCAAGCCAGAATGTTTCAGAGGACTTCCCAAACCCGCAGGATAAAAAACAGTAAAACCACCACCAGCACCAAACACACACACACAAAACCCCACAGCCAACAAACATAAACCCCAACAAATCCCCGAACCAGGCCTGAGGCAGTTTTCAGGTGGGTGTTTATCATTTAGCAGCTTCCCAGGTGAGACCCCTGTGTCAGGGAAGCTGGGACCTGCCCCTGACTTAGCTTGACTGCTACCACTTACGTTCCAAGGCAAAAGGTGCCATCAGTTCACTGCCTCCCACTTGCTTCGAGTGAACCAGACATGGGTTTGGGGAGGGGGAGCCTCGGAGGATCTGTATCTCTTCACTTTGCATGTTTGCAAGAAGTTTTTCTTCTCTGAGAATGTTTGGAAGATGGAGAAGCATCTTCCATGGCAGCTGTGCCCAGCGCATGGCTGTGCCCAGCCTGCGTGGGACCACTGTGCTCATCTGTAGTGCAGGTAAAGGTTTAGCCCTGCCTCCTCTGTGTGGCATTGCCCTGTCTGTGTGTGTGTTATAGAACACGAGGACGTTTTTGAGTGCCTGCAGCACAGGCCACCTGAGCCCCAGTGTATGTGAGCATCTCAAGTGGAGCATCCTACAGATGCTCAAAAGCGTTCTACAGATGCAGCCACATGTTGACAAAGGTGTGCACTGAGCAGCACAGCCTTGGGCTCACCTGCCTGCAGGAGGGAAGCAGAGACAACGCACCCTGAGCACCCCTGTTCAGCTCCCCAGGACCCCTGCAGCCCTGGGTGCAGTCTCCCTCTCCGGAGACATCCCAAGCCCACCTGGACACGTTCCTGTGTGCCCTGCTCTGGGTGGCCCTGCCTTGGTAGGGGGTTGCACTGGATGATCTCCCTTCAGCCCCAGTGATGCTGTGATTGTGTGATCAGCACCCAAACGCTGCGCCAAGGGGCACATTTGCTGAGCAGCCGCAGCCACATCCTCTGGCTCCCTGTCGGGAAGGGCATCCAACACGGTACCCACGGGAGGCCCTGCACCCAACCACCCAGGACTCTTGGCCTGACCCCAGCCCTTCCTTCATGTGAGGGCCACTGGGATCCCTCCACGCTGCAAAGAGTTAAGCCCTCGCTGTGTTGATATTTCCAGCAGCTCCCAAAGCGGGGAGCGCCCTGATTGGCTGCGTAGGGGCCGGTAGTAATTAGGATCAGATATCCAACTCCTGTCTTTGCTGAGACCCTTCCCGATAGTCGCTGCTCCCCGCTAGACGATGACATCAGCCAGGACACCCGGCTGCTGGTAGTAAACTGCAGGCGGGAGGAGGCTCCCGCCAGCTCCACGTTCATCAGTTCAACACAGCACAGGGGGAGCAGTTGGTGTCTGTGGAGGGTCAGTGCTTGGATGGGACCAACTCTTGCAAAGCCACTTGCTGCTTCTTGCCAACCCGCTGTAAAAGCACCCCGAGAGGCCAGGAGAGCTGGATGAATCCTGAGCACCAGCCGTGCTCTGGTCGGCTTTTCCCTGTTGGAGGAAGTTAATGGTTTAAGTGAGGGGCGTCTGGAGCTGGTCCCCGAGTCACCATGACACTCCTGGGGTCTGAGCACTCCTTGCTGATTCGGAGCAAGTTCAGATCAGGTAGGGGAAACCTTGAGATTTCTCTTAAAACTTCTCTCTCTGCAAGCCGTGCCCACAGGCGGGTTTGCGTTGAATGTTTTGGAAGCAGCATGTGAGTAAAATACTCAAGGGGTCGTAGAGCTGTCACGGCTTTGCTCTTACAGAGGCGATTCCACAAGTGGAGGAATGCATCTTCCTTCCTCTCTGTTGCCTTTCCATTGCTTTCCTTTTTCTTGTTTTCCTCCTGTTTTTTCATTTCCTTCGGTTTCTGTTTGTGGTTTATTCTGGTAAAACTCTGGCTCCCGGGTCTCCTGCCCTGGCCCTGCTGCGAAAGGATTAGGGCAGGAAGCCAAAAGGGCATCTGGGATAAACAAGGCACCTAACGCCGTCTGTATACTCCAGGTGCTCATGTGGGTCTGTCTGTGAGAGCCGCAGTGGGGACGGGCCCGGCAGCCCCTCTGCCATGCAGGCAGCTGCCTTTGGGCCATTAAGTTGTGACTAATTGGAGAAAAATGAATTTGAAGAAATGCGTCATTTTTAGAAGTAAAAATAACAAATGGAACATGAAAAGTATTTAAAGTGACATCATCAGAGAAATAAAACCAGAGCCACACAATTGATTGCCGCTCTCGGAGGCTTTGCAAGCAAAATATGCCTCCGTCTCCTAAGTTAGGGGAAGCACCAGTACGGGGCTTCTCAGAGGACACTCGGCGTGAGTGAAGGTGAGTGAAGGTGAACTATGGGACGGTCACTTCTAAACCAGACCCTCTGCTGGATATTCGTGCCTTTATTCACTGGCTTTATTTATAGTAAGTATGCTGGGTTTGTGAGTGGGTATCTTGGAATTGCAATGACCATAACATCCTGTAATACTAACGATCACGTCAATGTTCTCGAGGGGCTTTCTCTGAACTTCCCAGAGGTGAAGTGAATATAACCTGTGCGGATGTTCAGACAGCCCAGCTGCGTGTGCTGTACGGGATGCTGTAAAACCGGACAGGGCAGTCATGCTGGCATGTCACCCACACTGTGTGTTTTTGCCTCCTTGTGCAGTGTAGATAATGAAATGGAGATTTATGATCCTGATGGTAGACATGAGTGGTGTTATCGGGATCTCTTAGATAGCTGGGTGGTCAACTTAAACTTTGTTTTCTCAGCAAGTACAAAGTTGGCAGTTGGTTGAAAACCCAAGAGTGTGTGTGCAAACACAAGTGTCCTAGTCTGGCTGAATTATACAGAACTTGGGTCCAGGGCTTTGGTGTGGTTTCCATATCGCTCTGATCTTACATTTCATTAGATTAAGTCATTCCTTAGATTTTGTTGGTATATTATGGTACATTGCTGTTCATTTGAAAAAGAATCTGTCTGTAACTATTCCTCCAGCAACTCCAAAGCAACACTGCCACCTTTCTGACGAGAGGAGTGTGCGCTCTGTTACATGTCCCTGCATTCTTTTCAGATGAACCAGTATTGGTTTTAGGGCTCGTTTCTGGTTTATTTGTAAGCTGGCTTTATGTTGGAACCAACAATGGGATCTCTAAACATGTTTTTCGAATGATTCTCCAGTAAAAGCAAACTTTGTGGGTCTTTGCATCCATAAATTCTCGTGCCTTTCAGCATTTCTAGGGCAGTCAATTTGTGGGGCATTCTTTAGTTCATGACTTACTCCCACAACAGCAATCCCTCACTGTTGCCTGGTGGCTTCCCATTCGACAAGAGTCCTCTGCCTATTTATTTTGTTTGAGTGGGGTTTGCCAAAATCCCAAGTGTGGATCTAGGATTCCCCACATTGCCTCCCTACTGCTGGGACCGCTGCAGGTAGCACGGGATATGGCTACAGCACAACCCTGATCACTGCAGTCTGTGAGACACGGAGGGACAGCAGGATGCAGAGGAATATGAATACATCAGTAATGCTGCTTTCATAATGCTGCTGGGGTTTTAACATGAGGAATAGAGGAGAAAAGCAAATGTCTAATGAGAAGTGGTCGAATCTCTTATATGTAAGGTCTCTATGGGACAGAGTTGACTCTGGTGTCCCTGCTCCATGTGCAGACTTCAGTAGCTGTAAAGCCCTGCAAGTATGGCAGGAGGTGCAGTGCTCTGATTTACTGCCCTCCATTCACTTGGAGGAGAGATGAACCCCTCAAAGAACCCATCACCCTGCCCCACACCCCCCTGCATGGCTCAGGGGCTGTGACACGCTACAGGACAGCAGCACAGGGAGCTGTGTAGCTTGCACAGAGCATGCAAAGGACAAGCCAGGAGGGATCAGACCCTGCGATGCCAAGCCGCAAGGATGCCTCATGATGTGCTGCTGCTTTGGAAAGGGTCTTGTGCCACCAGGTGTGAGGCTTCGCTTGCTCCCAGGTTTGGGAAGGATTAGCTGTGCTCCATGACTCATGACGAGCCTGGATCCCTTTTGAGGGATTCCAGGCCAACGTTAATGAGGGCTGAAGTAAATCTTAACAACTAAACTTTTCCTGTCTCTCCATGGCCTGCACACACTGAGCAGCTGAAAGACCTATGTGTGTGTTAGAGGCTTCTAGAGATCTATGGCTCGCTTGCTGTTTCCTCATCCCAGAATCCCTTTAATCTCTGTGGTGCACACAGGCAGAAAGGGGAGCAAGGATTTGGCAACTAGAAGATGGTGGCACATAGATGTCCCTCCGAGAGTGGTGTGTCAGCTTTCCTGCCTCTTGCTTCCATCTGGAAGCATCAGTAACAAGAGCGAGCTTGTCCAAGAATGGCTCATCTGGTGGAGGCAGCGGCTCTTTCACACAGTGCCCAGCAATGCTGCCTTGAATCCCACAGTGTTTTCTCCTGCTCTTCCCTCTCCAGTGGTCCACAGTGAAGGACCAGCATAGCCATGCAGTGTGGACACACAGCAGCTGCCCCACTGCAGGGCACCAGGAACCAGTGCAGAGGAGATAGATCAAATCATCACCATGCTGCAGGCCTTCGGGTTCCCCCTCCCCTTGCTCAAGGATTTGTGTATGCATTTGTTTTATCTCTTTTTCCAAAGACAAATGCACTGATCTGAGGTCATCCTGACAAATTTTGCAGGAATGACGATCCTTCAAGCCTGCCATGCTGCCCCATGTGCTCCAATTGTCAATGGGATTGCACTAAATCAACTAGGACATCTACGGGCTGTTCCAGAAACATATTTAACTCTTCCCAGAGACAATAATTTATGTGCTCTCCTGCTTTGAATACAAACCAATTGTACTCCAGCAGCGAAGCGTTGTCATCGGGCAGAGCAAACAAAGCTGGCAAACACAGACTTAACCTTAACTCTGACCTTTTCTGTCCAGAGATATGGAATGAGAGTTTACAAGGCCAACATCTGCATAACATCAGTGGTAGTTCAGATAATTGGTGAGAAGTGAAATTTTAACACCCTAAATATGGCTCTGCACGGCTTGGCATGGGGTAATACCCAGGCCTAATTGTGGACACATGGTGTGAACTGCAGAGGAGACTTGCCTGGCTCTATGGAGGAGAGGGCTCATGCTTGCACACAGGGCTTGAATGAAGCTGGGTGAGGTGGGAGAGGATTTTATTCTGTCTGCCTTTGGTGGAGAGGATGATTCGGACCAAAATCAGCAGGTTAATAAAGTAGGGCTTGGTGGGGTGTCAGGGCAGGCAGTTTGGCAGAAGCTTTATTTTCATTCTCCTGGTGTTCAAAGATGAAGAGTGTGCATGTGTTTCCTCTCAGACCATGAACTTGTGCAGCCCACAACCAGAGTGTGTGTTCAAACCATGGCCTCTCTATGACCGGTGACACTGTTTCATGGTTTTGTGAAGTTGTTGTAAAGCATGGACTTGATGTAGATCAGTTTGTGCTTGGTTTTGGTTTTCTGGCAGCTTGTACCTTGGTGGCTTCATCTTATACCTTGGAGGTTCAGCTGACAGCCATACGCTTCTCTCTTGGCCAGGCATGTGTTATAGCACAAACTGACACGTACCTCACTGTGCCTGAGCAGAAGGATGTATGGGCTGCTCACAGGGATGCTGAAGGCATGACCCCAAGGAGGGCTGATGACAGCCTGTTCTCAGGACCATGGGGAGGTTGGGGTTGCATGTTATGATGAACACAGAGGTGATTTCTCTTTAGTGGTGACATGTGCTCATTTGCTAGTCAGGTGTGGGCCTATGTCTCTTCCTATGACAGATCAATGTCATCCACCTCAGAGTGACTCCACATTCATTCAAGTACAGCCTCCATGTCAGGAGCTTGATGTCAGCCTATTGCTTAGGACTGAGCACTCCTGCTCCAGGCTGCCCTGCCCATGTGGACATCCTGCTTTGAATGCAAGATCCTGCTCCTGACATAGCTGCAGGAAACAGCCACAGCCTGTAAAAGACCACAAGCAACATGCCTGCAGCAAGCCAGCCCTGCTCCTGTCCTGCTGGGGCCCTGGGACAGTCACAAGGGGTCCCACTTGCATCTCCCTCTGGGCAGCTTCTCTCCTCCTGACATGCTCAAACAAGAAAGCTTCAGTCATCATCTATAAAGACATCCTCAAAGCCAGCAGCAGCCCTGCCTTTCAAGGGAGGATGGGGGCAAAACAGGCCATTTCCTGCAGCCAGTGCCAGAGCAGGGGAGAGCCAACAGGTTCCTCTGTCCCACATCATGGCCATGGACAAACACATGTTCCACGTTTGCTCAGCTGCTGTTTGACAGGCAACAAAGCTGCTGCTGTTCAAAACAGGAGTCCATCCTCCCCATCACCCCATTCCCAATTTGCTGACAGCTCCTCCCTGGCCCCATCCTGTGCAGCACTGAGCTGCCTGTCAAAGCCCAGCAGGAACGAGCTGCTGGGGTGGCTGCAGAGAGGACAGTGACTTGCTGCTGCTTGTCAAACTGCTGAGTGCCATCAAGTTCATGGGCTTGGGTCAATCCGGTGCAATGTGGTGCTTCTGCTCATCCCCTCCACTACACAGCTCAGGAGCAGCACAAGAGGCAGGGATGAGCCTGACCATCATTTCTGGGAGCAGCAGTGACTTGTTTGCACAGCAATGGCACTGGAGTGAATGTGGTTCCAAATCAGAGCAAAAGTGCTGGAAGGGAGGAAACCAGCAGTTAATGGGATTTCACCTGAAACCACCTAGGAGAGCTGGGAAGAGCTGAAGCAGTGGGGACTCTGCCTCAGTCACTCCCAGAGGGTCTGTCTGAGATAGGGACAGATGCTGGGTTGGAAGTAAAGCAGCAGCACTATGGCTGCAGCTCCTCCGGGTGGCTCATCCCATTGAGCTGAGAGCTGAGAAAGCCTCTTGTAGCCTCAGAGTTCCAGGGAACATGCTCTGCTTGCTACACAAGTGTTGGCTGGAAGGCACAGCTCTGAGAACCTCCTTCTCAGACACAGACTGTCACCAGCACAGGATCAGGTCAGCCATGGCTTTGCCCTAGTCATCCCTGCAAGGAGAGCAGCTCCCAGTAAAGCTGATTCCCCAAAGAGAGGATGGTGCTGTGAGTGCTGCGGCAATGCCCCAGCATGGGGGACAATCTGATGGTGCAGGGGAGAACAGTCCCATCCTGACAGTGTGCTGAGCACGGGACTAAAAGTTCCCTGCAGACTGAAGCAGAAGGCCAGGTCTGCCCATTCCTGGGGTGGAGGGAGGATTTGAATATGTCTTTTCCAGAGCATCATCAGGCCAGGCAAGGCCCAAGCTGTCTTTTAGAATCACAGAATCAGGTAGGTTGGAAAAGACCTTTAAGATCATCAAGATGAGCTTCCTAAAGCTCTGGAGTGAACTCCTGGGGAGGAGGATTCAAGTCATGGGCAGTGCTCAGAGCTTGGGCCACCAGAGTGACTGATGACAGGAGGTCTGCACTGATAACAGCTGCACTGCACAGGCTGTTTCTGAAAGCTTGATCACTAAAACAGTGCTAACACAGAAAAGAGGGGTATTTCTGACAGAAAAATCACTGCAATAGCTGTGACATGCCTCGCATCGCCTAGGGAGGGATTTCTCACCATGGGGTACCAGAGGAAGAAGCAGGTTGCTGAAAGCTGTCTCTGAGCTGAGGGTGCCACAGGATGACCAGTGTGGATGACTGCTCCCCTGGGGGTACTTCTCCCCATCCAAGCTGGTGCAGGCAGGCAACAAGGATGCTGGGGGTGTGGGACCAACATTGTCTCATCAGTGCTCCAGCCATCACTGTTCGGAACATAAATGTTCCTCTGACGCATCAGCAAAGCAGTTTCCTTTAAAAATAATAGTCAAAAAAACCTCTGACACCATCCTCAGAGTGAGTCCCAGCAGCACTCAGAGCTCAGACATGTAGCAAAGGAAGGGGACAGGAGAGCAGCTGGGGTCAGACACAGCTTCAACAGGTCTCAAGTCCTGTTCAAGAAGCTACATGGTGGTTGTTTGGATGGTACCAGGGCTCCTCCAGCCTGTTCCGAAGCATTGTTGGTTGTAAGAGAAAGGTGCAAGTCTTGAGCTGGCATCCACCAAAAGGCGAGCTGCAGCATGGACTCAGAGGCTGCCAAGAGTAGTGGCTGCTTTACCTCTTCCTGCAGGGATGCTCGGTGTTATTGTCTGGCACTGTGCACCGCTATGTTTCTTCAGATGGTTTGAAAGTTCATAGAGATGGTATGAGGGAGTCAAGGCGTGCAGCCCACCACATAATGAGGACCAGATATGGATGAGTATGCAATGGTTGAAATAACTGTTTCAACCAGCAAGCTTGGGCTGCTCCTGTCCTAACGCTCTCTGTCAGCATGGCCTGTCCATAATAGCCACTCACCCATGGAAGAGCTTAGCTCTCACAGCCAGAACAGCTTGTGTCATCGCTGGGTCACAGCCTTTCTGCCTGTCAGCATGAAACACAATTCTGAAACCTTTTCTCTCTGCACAAAAAGATTATTAAATAACATCAGGTCCCCTCTGTGAGGGTCTCTCTGCAGTGCTCAGTGCAGGGGCCAAAGAGCGGCTGTTAGCCAGGCTCTCCTGGATTGTGCACTGGTTGCTGGAAGGGAGTAGCATTGGAAAACCTGGGCTCCCGAGTGCTGCTCCCGGATCCCAGCACAGGGAGAGCCATGGCCCTGAAACCTACACATGCTTTCAGCACTTCTTGCATCAAGACAGATGCTGACTCTTACAGCCACCACAACTGGACATCATCACCATCATTCCAAGCTATGCTTCAAGGGAGTGTATAACTTCTTTCTCTCTGAAAGAGGCCTGGCTGACAGCTCACTGCACACACCCAGACTTTACCAGGTACTGAAGGCTGCACGCTTCCCTCACAGCAAGAATCTATCCTTGGTGTCCTAAGAAGTGCTGGAATTTGGCAGATCATGGTCCCATGTGAGGCCTTTACCAAACACTTGATCTGAATGTGAGCCATGGCCTTTACAAAGGACACAGAAAGTCACAGGCAGTGGATCTAATTGGACCGTGTGCTTTGGGAACTCATCTGGAAGGGATTATTCTTCAGCTCCATCCACATCCTGGGGAAGCTGCACTGTAGACATGAGCTGTGGCAGAGCTCAGCAGGTTGCTCTTGAGGACTAAAAGGCCGTTCTTCCTCTCTTCCAGTTCCAATAGCACCTCTCTACAGTCAGCTCAGGGGATGTAGCCTGGGGCTGTGCTGTAGGGAATACGCATGCACTTCTATTGTGACCACTGACCAAGGCATGTCCTTGTGGCAAGCTGTACTGAGGAAACAGTATTTTCCTCAGTATATTCCTGTTCCAGCAGGAAAATACAGAAGTGAGCTCTGTGTTTCACCTTGTGATACAAGTGCCTGTCTTCCTGAAGACAAATGTGCAAAAGCAAAGGTGTAGAATATGATCGTAAGTCAAAGCGCAGGGTTACCTGAGTGATGGGAGGAACTGACTTGTCCTGGGCCAAGCAGAGGCAGGTAGCCTTGCACCAGGCAGGCTGCAGGTGTATGGTGGGATATCGTTGCATGCTGTGCATGTTGAGAGCTGCTTCTTTATCAGATGCCTCATCAGTGCTCTGTACCTGAGGCCATGCTGCTAATCCGCACAGTGACCATGAGCAGTGGTTCATTCCCATCTGTCAGTGCACTGTTTCCAAACCCAAGTTATACTGGAGACTGCAGGTCCTTGAGGCAGTGTATTCATACAGAAATGGTACTAATCTCTCCTCACCACATCATCTACATCCCCCTCGGAACAGTAAGGCTGTCTGCATCCAGTGCTGAGCCTTGCAGGGCTGGAATTACACTGCCAGGCCCTCAGGAGAGTGATGGAGTTGGACAACTGTACTCAACCCACAGTGCTGGCGGGAGGGAGAACCTCCCAGCCTCAGAGTTCAGAACTGAGCAGCTATCTGAGCTGAAGCCATGGCCACCTGAGGCTGCCATCACCCATCACCGGTGCCAGGCAGGGATCAGCCTGCCCCAGGCACTAGGGAATTGCCTGGACCAGAAGCAGCCCTGTGCAGCTCATCTGTCTGCAGCAGTGAGGATGAGGGTGGTTCAGTCTATGCAGCTTCTCCTTGGCTTTGAGCACTCTGCTGCGCCAAGGCTGGTCCAGCAGCAGCAGAGCTCAGTGCCAGACCTCTGTACCACACAGAGACCCACGGCACATTGTCAATAATTATCACAGAATCCCAGCGTGGTTTGGGTTGGAAGGGACCTTAAAGCTCCTCCAGCTCCAACCCCTGCCATGGGCAGGGACACCTTCCACTAGAGCAGCTTGCTCCAAGCCCCTGTGTCCAACCTGCCCTTGAACACTGACAGGGATGGGGCAGCCACAGCTTCTCTGGGCACCCTGTGCCAGCGCCTCAGCACCCTCACAGGGAAGAGTTGAAATCCTGCCTCTTTTCCTGACACCATCTCTCTTACAGTTTTGCAGCTACGGCTTCAGCAGAGAAGGACCCGCGAGCAGCTGGCAGACCAAGGCATCATGCCACGTGAGTACCTGTTTGTGCCTTGTCACCCACTCCTGTGTTCATCCCGGGCACTGCTGGAGCACGCTGTGGCACCAGCTGCCTGCCCAGACCCACTCCGCTCTGAGCAGGTTATTACCAGGGGGACTTTGCTTCCCGCCCCATAGAAATATCAGAGTTCCTGTCGCTGCACAACAGTGCCCAGCATTTGCCACATAGACTATAACGCCACTGCTCAAACTGAGGTCAGGAGAGATGCTTAGCTTACAGCATCCAAAGATTCAGGTGCATAGCTCCCTGTCCCTGAGGTCACCGTAGCAGACTAGCATACCCAGCTCCAAGCAGAAGACTCGCAAAGCTCTTCATGTAGGCAAAGGCAGAGAATCTCATGTCCTCCTGTAAAAGCCAAGACCCTGTGTGGCTGGACCAGATCCACAGAACAAGGAAGAGGTAGAGAGAGCCCATTCCAAGAGGCTGTGGAAGAAGGAAGCGGTGGGTAACTGCCTTGGCCCCAGTGCACTTCTATGAGTGAGACATATTCAGACCTGTGCCTGTGCCCAGCCAGGACCCCACAGGACAAAACTGTCAGTGTATACTTGAGGCCAGTGAAACCCCACCTGGGCCTGCTTGCTGCAGACAAATGACGTCCATGCTTTTCCCTCTCTGACCACATTCATCCTTTTCAAGCTGGCATTCAAGCCTGAAGAGCAAGCTCCAGCATTATCATGTGCTCATTCAGCATCAGAAAGCTAGTTGCTAGATCCCAAAAAGTAAGTGAATGAACATGATCCCCTTCTGCACCTGCAGGTGCGTCATGAAACCTGTAGCGCTACCAGAGAAACGCTGTTGGCAGCTCAGGTGTGATGGGATAACTCCATCCTGACCTAGCTCAGGCTCCATGTGCATGAATGTGATACCTAGGACCCAGGTAGAGACTTACCCTGTCTCACCAAGGGCCCTTAGTGTTCACTGCTAAGACCACAACTTTCCAAAGCCTGTGTCACTTCTGTCTCTTCTGGCTGACCTCGAAGATTCTGATGCAGCTCTTGTCTAAAGAGCAGAACAACGCACTAGGAGCACAGCTCTAGCACTGCTTGCTGCACCCTGTGCAGCCCTCAGCCCTTCCCATGCAGCTGCCTTCCTAAAGCACTGGGTCAAGGTAGCCAGCAACGGACAAATTCTCAGTCCAGTGTTGCCAGCAAACATTAAGAAAACTTGAGCAGGATGACAAAAATCATGACTGTCAAAATGACCATTATGGTTTTCAGATGGATAAATATGTGTTCTTCCTATTTACCTTCTGTTTATTCCTTTAAGCATTCAGATTTTCTGCTGCCTGCCACCAAAAGGCAAGCATTAGGGTTAGGGCTAGGCAAGCATTTTAACCACAGGACTCCAGGAGTGACGTTTGTTATAGTATTGCAAGCACTGGAAATAGAGTCAGTGGCCAAAACTACATCTAACATCTCCTGAACTGGGAAACCCACTCTAGAAATGGGAATACTCAGATAAGGTGCAGGACACCCCTGTGCACACGTATGGAGCAGTGGTGCCAACTGAGAGGTCTGAATACCTGACACTGCTCTGCACACTGAGTGCACGGGACTGACACCTAACATTGAAAACCTTACACACTGCAGACCACATATTAAACCAGATTTATCTGATGGCAGCTGAAGGGTATTTTCCTGTTACTTATGACTTCTTTGCACTCCCAGCTTCTACTCTGACATTTTGCAGTCTGGGTTCTGTCCAAGAAGGCCATTTTGGGAAGCTTGAGCACAGTTCACTCCCTGAAAGTAATAGAAGAGAAGACACTTCTGCCATTAGAAAAACAAACACGTAAAATTTAACTGCTGCATCTGACCTCCGGAGGGAGCGTCAGGCGTCAGCATTTAGTACATGGGAGCCCCAGCCAGACTCCCCATGGCTTGGGCACGTGCAGTCATTCCTTATGGAAAACAAGTCTTTATTTAAGGATGTGGACCTGCTTGAGTGAGTCCAGAGGAGGCCATGGAGCTGCTGCGAGGGCTGGAGCAGCTCTGCCCTGGAGCCAGGCTGAGAGAGCTGGGCTGGGGCAGCCTGGAGAAGAGAAGGCTCCTGAAGGGGAGACCTGAGAGCAGCTCCAGTGCCTGAAGGGGCTGCAGGAAACCTGGAGAGGGGCTTGGGACAAGGGATGTAGGGACAGGCCAAGGGGAATGGCTTTAACCTGCCAGAGGGGAGACTGAGATGAGCTCTTAGGCAGAAGCTCTTCCCTGTGAGGGTGCTGAGGCGCTGGCACAGGGTGCCCAGAGAAGCTGTGGCTGCCCCATCCCTGGCAGTGTTCAAGGCCAGGTTGGACACAGGGGCTTGGAGCAAGCTGCTCCAGTGGAAGGTGTCCCTGCCCGTGGCAGGGGTTGGAGCTGGAGGAGCTTTAACGTCCCTTCAACCCAAACCAGGCTGGGATTCTGTGATAACTTCTCATGCCTGTTGGCTTTGAAGACCAGCAGGTGAGGTTGGCTCTAGGTGTTGCACCAGGACAGGACCTCACTTCACATGTATTGCAGGAGGGCAAGAAATGAGCCCACAGGGCTACAACCCACAGTGGTTGAGAATTGCCCTTCTGGAAAAGAGTAAAGTTGGGCATTGCTGGTCTCCACGGTTAGAGTCAGGTTTGGTATCAGGCTTGGAGCATGCACTTGATCCCACATTGCACATTGGATTTTGCACAAGGATTGCTTTCAACCCATTGCATACATTTTCTGCTGATACAATCCCAGGATGGAGAAACTTTGTTTTTATAAGTGATGCATTTTATACAGACACCAGAGAGACAGAAGGTCAGAGTAAGAGAATAGCATTGGATAAAAGATTTGAGGGTTGTAGAAAGCCTTGTGGGAAGGGGAGCTGAGGGAGTTGGTGACTATCTTCAGAGCCTCCAGAGCTCAGCAGTGCAGCTATAGCACAGCAAACATGAAACACTGGAATATATCCTAGGAACCTGGCTGGGTTTTGGCATCCAAGAGAACAGCACAGGGAGAAGTATCAGTGCTACCTGAGCATAGCAGTAAAAGGAGTATCCTTACCAAAGCCTAGTCTGTACTTAGTTTGATTGGAAAAGATCAACTCCATCACATATCTGAGCTTTGATCATACTTCAGATGTTCCTCTGAGAAATGTGAAACCTTCAGATGGCCTCATCACTAGAGAAGGCAGGAAACTGCTTAGAGGATGCTCAGGAGCAGTGGCATTGCCAAGGCTTCAGGTTCAAAGCTGGCTCAGATTGTCAGATGTTTTCAGGTTGTAAATTGAACAACTGGCTGGCAAAACTATCCACACTGCTGAAAAGGGCTCTACCAATAGAGACAGGCACAGACTGGTGGGCAAGAGCAGCCTCTGAGTTCCTGCAGCCCTGTGGTTCCTGCAGCCCTGTGACTCTGTGTATGGAGGGTCCTCTGGGAGCAAGGGGAGATCAGATTCTTTGGCACACAGCAAGCTTCTGATGCACAGGAGATGTGCAGGTGAGAGCAGAGCCTGCCCCTTTCTTCAGGCTCACTCAGTAGGATGTTCCCAGTTCATGCACCAACACATGGTTTTATTGTCTTGGTGAAACTGGTGCAGGCCCAGCTAAAGCATTTTAAACCAAGAACATGTGGGGACATTTGCAGAAACACAGGCTGTGGGGCTCAGCATGGGTGACCCCTCTCTCTAGACCTGCACAGACACCTGCCCCAGGCCCCAGCCAGACCCTGGTCACCTACCCTGGAGGGGAGGCAGCTTGCAGCATCAAGGATTCCCCTCAAAGCAAGGCTCCCAATAGAGTGATGGGCTGAGAAACAGCTGTGCTTTAAGACTCCTGCTGTACACAGCCACCACCTCATCCTTTAACAGAAACCTTAGAGGCAACAGTCCCAAGATTATCCACACCAAGCACAGCAACTCTGCCCTGTTACCTCCAGACCCTCAGCCATTTCAAGCTGATGTGTCACCCATGACAAGTTGTCTGAATAACAAGTGCTAGCGATGTCTCTGTTTGTTTTGCAGACTAATACAAGCTGCAGCATCCACATAATTCCTCCAAAAATGTTGGTAAATTACTAAATTCTGCAACATGTTCCTCTTGAAGAGCACGGAGTTTGGTCGATGCCCATAGCACACTCCCTATGTCAGTACTTCACAGTGAGCGGGGCTGAAAAGTCATCTCTCTTGCTAACTTCATGCTCTTGTGTGCATCATTTTAGTTTGCTTCTGATTAAACCTCACAAGTCCTCATGGCTGCTCACTGGAGCATGGCACAGTAATGCTTGTCTGTATGTCTGCTTTCCCATGTTAGGAGCAGAAATGGGCTCACACAGTGATTTACTGTGATTTACTGGGGTTCATAGTGGTTACGCTGTGGGTTGCCTACCAAAAGCCAACACAGAGGGCCCCCGAACATTTCCCATCTGCCCCAAGTCTTCTCTTCATCCTCCTCTAGACTGATGGAGGATAAAATGTCCTATGTGGAAACAGTTTCTCTCCTTACTGGATCTCATTCAGAAGATCAAAAGGGAATTCCTATTGCCAAACAGAGTTGTAGCAGGTTGGTTTTGTGGGTCAGGACACCTTCCCCTTCCCTGTCCCAATGGGAACAGTTAATTTTGCCTCTTAGCCAGAATAGAATTTTTGCAGGATCTCAGAAATATTAACCCCTTCACCATAATTCTACTATTTCTAGTGAACAAGAGTAAAGAAGGAAACATTCAAGGTTCTCCATGACTCCAATACAGACTCCTCCATGGGGCTGGTGTCCACTGGTCCTAGAGCCAGGGCTCACTGGCTGTTTTTGGGACCCCATGTGGGTTAGTCCTCCTTGGTGTCAGAAGATGCTGAGGGCATGGTCTGCAGCCTGGTAGCTGACCGGGCAGCAGCCTGCTTAGGGAGGCCCCAAGTCACACTGATGCTTCTGGGCAGAGAACAGGACCAACATCCAGTGAGAGATGGAGGGGAGGTCAGCGATGGAAGAGGGACAAGGGACCTTGCACTGAAATTCCCTTGCTAGAGCACGGTAGAGGCCAGGTAGTTTTCCTGCTGTCCTCAAGTCTCCATCACCTGCAGGTTTTCCTTGCAGATGTGGTCCCCTCTCAGGTTGTAGCTCTTCCCACATCCGTCTTCTGGGGCTCTGGTGCCTTCCATGACCTGCAGGAAGCACTCCAAGGAAAAGCCATATCTGCTTTCTGATGTGTCCCACAGAGCACTGTGTTTCAAAGCCCACACCCCCTCCCTGCCCATTTGCCTCCTGTGCTCCCCGTGCTCTCCATCCATGGACTGGCTGAGAGCAAGGGATTTCCCAGAGCTTTCCTGAGTTATTTTTAGTCAGTGCAATAAAGGGAACGGCTAGTTTGTGTTGCTATTTATATAGCCCTCATTAAAATGCTGTTGCTGAATATCCTGGTAGCTGCTTGCTTCCACTCCTGTGCTGACTGCTCCTCTCTCTTTCCTGTTGCAGCACTGAAAAGCCCATCCTCATTCCATGAACAGCGAAAAAGTCTGGAGCGAGCCAAGGTAACTCCTGCAGCCACCCAGTGAGGGGACACGTGGGCTTGCTTTGCATGACTTGCGGGGTTTGATAGCACTCTCCACCATTGCCCCCCTGCTCTGGCATCCTTTATTCAAGCCCTGTGGCCAAAGGTGAGGGTCACAGCATCTCCCCTGCTTTCAGACATGCTGGGGCCAGGCCAGGATTCACAAATGCTCTGGAGCATCTGTGCCTGAGCTATGGGGTTTTACAACATCACTTGGGGTTCACAAGAGACTGTGGGCAGGGAACAGTTCACATGGCATCAGCAGTCCTTCCAGTGAACATCCAAGCAGCTGAAGTCTCCGGACCAGGTCCACAGCTCACTCCTCAAGGCACTGACTGGTGTCCACTCCTCAGCAGGGTTAGAGCAGGGCTAGCAGCAAACAAGGCTGAAGGAGCCTAACTGTTTAGCAAGCGTGCAGGAGGCCTGCAGATGCCCTTTGTCACCCGGAGCGGGTCCCCAGGGAACTCACATTTGTCATCAGGCAGGAGCCCTGCTCTTAGCTCTGCAGTGCAGCGTGGCTGTTACAACACACAACATCCAAGGGGCTAAGTGGGCCAGGCTCCCTCTGGCCCTGTTATCTAGCTGCACTCAGGCTCCCTAAATATTGCTGAAGGCAGAGATAAGTAGGCATTTCCAGAACACATTGAAACCCTGCGATGAGACCACTCTGTGGCTTTTCCAAGCACCTTCCACCCAGCCTTGACAGAGCTGGAGGGATGTCCATGGAAGAGGGAACACTCAGTCATGCAGGTTTTGCTTGAACGCAAAGAGTTTGTTCCATTAATCTGTGTCTAAGAAAGGACTTTTGCAAGGAAGAATGATTGTGAAACATGGAGGAGTGCTCATCTGAACTTAAACACACTCCAAATCACTTGCCCTGAGTCTCCTGTGGTAATAAACGGCCAGCATAAGAAACACAGCATGACTCTGAAAAATTGGTGTGCTTACAGAATTTCAAGCAATCCAAAGTATCCCTGAAGTGTCACATATTTTACAGCTCAAGTATACATCTGTGTCTCTTTGTCTTTCTCTCCAATAGCTTTCGCTGGCTACTTGCCTAGGGAAAGGGAAGGATGCTCTCTAGTCTATCCCAAACTGCGTTTTCAGACTATGCTAATCAAAACATTAATGAGCACAGCCCAGAACAAACATACTCCTTTGCAAGGATGCCCTGCTTTGAGCTGTGACAGGGAAGGAGCAGCAGCTGTTTCCAGATACTTAATGGCATTTGTTGCTTAGCTGACACTCCTCCAAACTGATGTTCTGCAAACAGAAAGCAGATAACAAGAACTGCTTTCATGTGTTTTGAAAGCTCTTCTGTTTCAACTGACACTAAAATAGACCTCAAACACATCTGAAGTCTTTCTCCACCATTTGCACCCCAGCGGCACAAACGCAGCTTATAAAGAGCAACGGTCAAGAGGAACTGAAACCTGAGCAGAAAGTCAGGGTAATGCAGTGTGAATGGTGGGTTTGACAAGGACAATGCCACAGCCGTAGGGCAGCAATTCAAGCTTAGCCCAAGTCAGGACCTGACCCGAGGATTAGCTAGAAATGCATGAGGTGAATTTAACCGCACTCAGGTGCAGACAGCAGCTTGCTCTGTCCTTCATAGGAACCAGCAAACATACACATGGTCCAAGCAAGGGACTGTGTTGGTGAAAATAAGCCGGGGAAAACCTAGCGGGGGAAGGGTAAGGAATGGTAAAGATTTCAGTAAATAAAGTGTCTATTATTTGTTTAAACATGTCACTGGCGACATTAGAGGCTGGCATCGGGCCAGCGCACAGCCTTTGAAGTCAGTGCCTCGTAAGAGCTTGCTGGGTCTGACTTCCCTGAGGCTCAGAAGGGCTTCAGCGCATCCTTCCCGCACCCTGCAAGCATGGCAGGGAGGAAAAGCTGTCGTTCCTGTGCCCCAGAGCAGCCAGCCCCGGCTGGGTCACCCCTGACCACCACAGCCAGCCCAACCATAGCTCTCTAAGCTGTGCTCTTAGCAAGTGGCCCCAGTTCCCTGCCCATGCTCTGTTGAAATTGAAGCCCATGGCTCGCTCTTCTCTATGCATGCGCATGCACAGCTGCTTAGCTTCATCCACCCCAGTGCAGAATCGGCTGAGACCTGAACGCAGTCCTTTCCACGTGTCCTTGCAATCAGATCAGAACTACTTCAGATCATTTCTTCGATTACTCTGAATCATGTTGCTTTGTAATCTGCTAGCCTTGAATGAGTCAGAGCTAAGGAGTATATTTTCTATCCTCCAACACAGTAATGAATGTATTGGCTAGTAGAAAAAATTGCTGTGTAATGTGATTTGATCTATTCTTCTGTTTAGACTGTGAGCCATTCCTAATTCCTCTGATGACCCACAGCTACACTCCTTTCTTATGTTAGTCTTATCCAGACCAAATTTCTCTGGCTTGCCTGTGAGAAAGCCATGTGAGATAATGTCAAAACATGCTTCAAGTCAAGCTGCATGACATTCACTGTTTATTCCTGTAACAGAAATCTGTCAGCTCTCCATAGAATGAAATAAGGTTGGTGTGATGTGGCTTGTTCTTGATGAATCCATCCTGGCTCTTACTCACCTCCTCTCTATCTTCAAAATCTGTTTATAGAGGCTGTTTGATTGCTTGGTCCAATATCTTGCTGACTGGTTTATGAATTCCTTGTTTCTTCATTTCATTTAAAGCAAGAAATTATGCTCTCCCTCGCCCTGTTTCCTGGAGACCCATAGATATTACTCTTGTGCATCTCAAACTGGGAATATTTAACCCATCTGAGGATTCTCCAACCTGATAACTGGGGTTTCTTCTCTTTTGTTGCTGAAGGTTCTTGGCTTAGTCATCTGATCGATAAATAGCCATTTATCTTCTTAGGCAGGATGGTTTAAAAACGCATTAAATCCTGTAGCCATCCCAGCAGCATGCATAATTATTTCTCCTGCTTATGGAACACAGACAGCACTTTCCATTGCCTTGTCATGCCTACGGAAGTCCTTATGAAACCTTTTTCTCATGATCCTGTACATTTTGTACTGCAGGTTTTCCAGTTTTGCTCCAGCTGCTTGTACTATTCTTTCGTATTTATCCTGAAGATTTTAACCTCTTTGAACTATGTCCATTTTTTGGTCCTATTTCTTCCTGTACCTTAACTTAGCTGCAGGAAGACCAAGTCGCGTGGGTGACCCAGGTAAAGAGCCTGGGAATCTCCATGGCCTGCTCAGCCCCAGAGTGCCAGGCTTGCCACAGAAACCATTGCTAACCATACACTGGAGGTGCCTTGGTGCAGCTCTCAAAGGCCACATGGCATGCTAAGCTAGGAGAATATCCACCACTCCCTGTTGAATAGATCTCATCCTTCCCATAGGCTCTTGTAATACTTCCAGGCGTGAGAAACCCAAGGGAAATTGGAAAGGAGACATCTCAGGAGTGGGTTTAGTAAACATTGTAATAAATCCAAAAGAACCATGGGGTGGCACAGGGGCAGATGCTCTCTGTACCTTACTGCTGCTCTACCCAGGTAACTCTCTGCATTTGTGTCCTGCAGACTGAAGATTATCTCAAGCACAAGATCAGAAGCAGGCCTGAGAGATCAGACCTGGTCAATATGCACATTTTGCAAGGTAAGACTGCCTGAGCTTCTCACACATACTCCTTTTTTCTCCCACCTTGTGACTCATGCCTTTCCTGCCCCACTTGGCTTCCCTGCAGGACTCTCATTGGGATAACTTTGTCCCAGCTACTCATGAGGGGCAGATTCAAATGGGACACATGTACAGAATTCAGTCCTGGCCTTCAGGAGGCAGGTCACACATTTATTCCCTGATGTAACATCCAAAGGTTATCTAACCATTCTCCCATCTCTGGCGGGGACCAGTATAAAATACCATGGAGAAGAGCTGTAAGAGAGGACTCAGCAGAGGTGACCCTCATGAAAAGCATACCCAAGGCACTAGTTGTCCAGGGCACTGAAATCCCTGTAGCTGGTGGCTGCAATACCTCCCAAAGCCGGATGTCTTTTGTTTTTCCATAATTCTGGATATTTTATGTGCCAGCTCATGCCAAGCACAGCTGTAAAAAAAGGGTGAGCCCTGCTATCAGGCCATGAGCCACGGCACCTCTCCCCTCTCCCATCCTGGTGTCCCTTCCCAGCCAGAGAGCTGGCAAGGCTCTGCTGTATCCCATCACAGACAGCGGAACACTGTGGTGCCCCCTGTTATCTCCAGAGATACCGAGCTCCTTAGAGCCAGGGAGGATGTGCAGCCTCTCTCCTGTAGTCCTGTCAGATGCCTGGAAGAAGCAGATCACTCTCTGGCAACTGTAATTGCTGGCCTCTGCTCTCGGCATGGATGAAGTCCATATTTCTTTTTCCTCTGCCACACAGGAGGGCTGAGGCAGGGACCCATTCCAGATCACTGTCACTGCCTTGCTTTCTCTTCGGATGTCCATCCCTAGAGTGAGCTAGCACCATTGCTTGTTTATCAATCAGGTGGAAAGTATCTTTCCCTTAGGTTAAACCATAGAAGCACTAGAGGAGTTAGGGGACTACAAAGATGTGGGGCAGCTGCAGTCGCCAGGCATGGGCAAGGCCAGGCAGACACAGCCAGAGGGGAGCTGGAGAAGATACTGCCTGGCTTTGTATTGAGCAAGCTGGCTGTGCTGCCTCACACACACCTCTGCATACAGGACATGTACCCTGGCATATCATGGACTCACATGTCTACTTGGTTCGTAACAGGGCCTAGAGGTGATTGAAACCGGCCAACTGAGACTTCACATCATCTAAATGCTTTACAGGGACACCTTCTGTTACGGTTCACCTCAAGTGTGTTTACTGCCCTGTATAGTCTGAGGCCAGGAGTTACCCTGGATCAGCTCTCCTGGCCTCCTGCAGAGAACTTTCCATGGTATCAAGCCCTGTAACTTCTGTTGCCTACAGTCTCTCTTCTAGAAGAGTCTCCAGTCTTTGAAGACAGGACAATCTGGATGCAGCCCTTCTTCCTTTAGACCCCCAAGGGTATAGACATGGTCTGTTTTAGAATCCCACTCCCTCACTGCTCATGCCTGTGCCACCAGAGGAGCCAGACGACCTCTGTTCAGGCAATGTCTGTTTAATTGGCTACTTACATCACCACTCAATAACTGTAGACTTCTCAGCTTGGTTTGGTAGGGCTGTAGCTTCCAGATCTAGCTGCCTCTCTTATGCTCCTCTGCATCTTGTTTTTTCCCTGAAGTCCTGGAGCACTGTTGTTACATTGCCTCCAAATGTCTGCTCCCAAAACCTCAGCCTTTTTTCTTCCAGTGCAAGACATTTCCTCCACCTGTCAAACACTGTCAATGGTTCATTTCTGCAGCTGCTCCCCAGAAGTAGGGATCCATCTGCATTAGCCAGCAAGGGCCAATGGGCTCCTAGCAGACAGGAGCTGGAGTCCACTTTGGCCCCTACATTAGTGGGAGTTTGTTAATGAAGTTTCCATTGCATATCATTCCTGATCCTTGGGGAGGATGCCCCAGCTGCAGGATGGGTTTGCAAGCCTAGGCTAGTAGACAAAGGCTTTTGCCTGGGAATGAGAAGTTGGACCTCAGGCTCAGAGGAGGACCTATGTCTCAAATCCCACCAGCCCCATCCAGTCCAGCATCCTGCCTCACAGCCTCACAGCAGCTCCTGCTGTGCACTGAGCCATCTGGCTGCAGCCCAGATTTTGGCTGCGTTGAAGGGAAAGCACATTCTCACTGTGCACTTTGCTTGGAGATGCCCCAGGTCCCAAACTGATGCCTTCCATTTGGCCTTTTAGACTCAGCTGCAGAGGGGTCCATTCAGTCTACTCAAATGAAGCTGAAAAGAGCCCGACTGGCAGATGATCTCAATGAAAAGATTGCTCTCAGGCCGGGTCCTTTGGAGCTGGTGGAGAAGAACATTATTCCTGTCGACTCCGCTGTGAAAGAGGCCATAAAAGGTAGTGGAAGTGAACGTGCATGTTGTGTTGTGTGCATAGCACGGGGCTGGCAAGGTTATGAGGATGTACTGCAGCGGCTGCAGGAAGTGACTGACCTGGACTAAAAAGCTGCATTTATTGCTTAAATTTAACTATTTTCACAGTAAGCAGCCCAGGCCAGCACAGCCTGGGCTATTTTACCCAGCTCTAGGAAAAGAGAGCTCTCATCTTAGAACAATAACCACTGTAAAATGCTCATCTCCTCAGGACCTCTCTTCTTAAGCTGTTTCTCTAGCCAAGGCTTTGAGCACATACATGATACTGTGGGAGACAAGACATTCTTGCCTCCCTCTTGAGGGAGAGGACCTAGGTGCACACATGTTGTGAGGCCAGCTTGGGTTTGCCCATTTGTGCCCTATCAAGCTTTCCTGTTGCAGCAGGTGGGGGTGAAGTGTTCCAGTTCGGTTCTCTCTTATTTCCACTGATGTTAGTGGGATGCGTGGCCCAACAGAGTAGGATGCTGCATCTCTGGCGTGTGGAAGCATCCCTGGGGTGCTAGACTGCTGGGGAACACAAGGACCTGCAGGGTTCACTCCTACCTACCAGTGCCCAGCACTTGACTTATGCCTAAGCTGGGTTTTGTCTATCACCTACCCCCCAACCAGAGCACGGAAGCAAAATCCTCCACTTTCATTCCCCCTGTGCTGCTGCAGGGAGGCTGGTGTGGGAGCTGACACAAAGCAAAAGGTGACTGAGGTTTCACCAGGGCCAATACCAGGACAGGGAGATCCAAAGGCAAAGAAAGGGGCAGGAAAGCCAGTGGGGTCCTGCAGTACCAGGACAGCAGCCTGTGTTTGAGCATCTGAGAGATGCTGTGCCCCATGGGAGCTGCTCGTTCTGTTGCTCCTGGTTCCTCAATTCATGGGATTATTTCCATTGGCAAAATCCCATGTTAGGTGCCTGTTCTGGGGCTCAGAGCAATCTGGGGACAGTGGCAGGGCTCTGGGACAGGAGTGGGGTTTGAACAACAGAAGTGATGCTGAAAACGGGAATTGAAACAGGAAGGACTTTGACTTTCATTTCACCTCATAAACCAGCATAAGTGGCTCCAATACTGCTCTGTCCTGCCCCACAGTTGCTCCTGCTGTTGGTTTTCCTGCTGTGGCTTTTCTAGTGTGGCCCTTGAGCTGCTCCTTTTGCAGCATTTCACAGCTCTCATCTTCAGAGGTGAAATGTTCCAGGACTCTGCCTGAAGAGGAACTTTTAATGAGAGTTCAGTTAAAATCTCCCCAGCCACTTATTGAAGGGAAGAACAGTGGAAAACAAAAAATCCCCCCCCCCCAAACATTTGAGACAGTTTGAGCCCGACTTTATTCACTGCAGCAGAGGCTTGGAGGCTGGGCAAGTGAGCTGGGAACAGCGTTTCTCTCCAGCTGCCTTGTCAGGAGCTCGTGGTAAAGAGATTTACAAGACAAAACTGATAAAAACAAAAAGTCTGGCTTGAAAAAAATGGATCCATTTGAACTTTCTCCCTTGCACAATGCCCTTCTATCACATGGCTGAGGAAAAACTGTCCCCTGTAAGTGAGTTTTATCCCATTTAGGGTGAATCATGAAGCACATTAGGGTTAACCGTGAAGTTACTTGGTAACGTTGGGCGCCATGAGGAGGAGGTGCAAGTGCACCAGGAACACAATCCCAGCCCTTAGGTTTCTGCAGAACAGAGCCCCAGGCTGAAGGATCTTCAAGGTGATTTTTGGGGTCAGAGGCACCTTGTGGTGCTCACAGCTAAGGGCAGAACACAGAGCAGGGATGAGCACTGGCACTTGTGAACGTTTTGTTTTTGCAATACCAGAAAGATGACAGGGTTTAAAATCATTTTACTTTAACCTTGGAATCTCAACTGTTTATACAGTGGAAAGTTCAGCTGACGTGTTCCTCTAATCACCTCCGGCAGGGTGAGCAGCAAGTGCCAGACCCCAACCGAAAGCCCTAACGTCCCAGTGACAGGAGGCCGCCAGTGCCCTACATAGCTGAGCAGTGATACAAGAACCCTTTTTTACCAGGTCCTTGTCATCACTTTGTCCAATTCGCTTGAGAGGACAATACCCAGTGCATTAGAAACAGCCCCGAGCAAACACCATTCTGCCTGAGATTACAGCAGAGACATGGGATCCTGAAACAATACGGGCTGGGTGAGAGCAGGACAGATAAGGGCAGCATTCCCCACCCGGCACAGGCCCGTGGTATCAAGCAGCAGGATGCAGCACATTCCTGTCATGCTCCAGGCTGCTGCTGTGTCCCAAAGGTCCCTTGGGCTTTCAGCTTTGGCACCACTTCCCAGTGCATGCTTATTAAATGCCAGCGCAGCGGGAGCCCTGCACATCCACAGTCCTCGCGTGTTGTCATTTTTCCCAGAGCAAGGATGCCCATGCTTGTCTGCAATTTTTCTCTCTATTTATGGAGTCACTCATTTCTGCCCAAAGCCTCTGTCCAGTGCCCACTACAAAAGCATCTCTGGTGGATAACGCCTTCATCCACCCCAGTGCTTCATCAGCTGGCTTAGCTGTGGCTGCCTGCTCCAGTGGGAAGGCACAGTTTGGATGCTGGAGAGGGGACATTCAAGGAGCTCCGTGCTCTGGAGAGCAGGGAAGAGAGGCTCTCCAGGAGACACATTGATCTCATATTCTCATCCCAGGATATGAGATACCCAGGATATGATCATATCCATACAGCAGCAGGGAAGAGAGGCTCTCCATGGGACACATTGATCTCACACCCTCATCCCAGGATATGAGGTACCCAGGATATGATCATATCCATACAGCAGCAGGGAAGAGAGGCTCTCCATGGGACACATTGATCTCACACCCTCATCCCAGGATATGAGGTACCCAGGACATGATCATATCCATACAGCAGCAGGGAAGAGAGGCTCTCCATGGGACACATTGATCTCACACCCTCATCCCAGGATATGAGGTACCCAGGACATGATCATATCCATACAGCAGCAGGGAAGAGAGGCTCTCCATGGGACACACTGATCTCACACCCTCATCCCAGGATATGAGGTACCCAGGACATGATCATATCCATACAGCAGCAGGGAAGAGAGTCTCTGCATGGGACACATTGATCTCACACCCTCATCCCAGGATATGAGGTACCCAGGATATGATCATATCCATACAGCAGCAGGGAAGAGAGGCTCTCCATGGGACACATTGATCTCACACCCTCATCCCAGGATATGAGGTACCCAGGACATGATCATATCCATACAGCAGCAGGGAAGAGAGGCTCTCCATGGGACACATTGATCTCACACCCTCATCCCAGGATATGAGGTACCCAGGACATGATCATATCCATACAGCAGCAGGGAAGAGAGGCTCTCCATGGGACACATTGATCTCACACCCTCATCCCAGCATATGAGGTACCCAGGACATGATCACAGCCACACAGCGGCAGGGCAGCGGCTCGGGGCAGGGAGCCAGGGCTCCCCGTGTCCTCGCCCTCCCCGGCCCCAGGAGCCGGGGCAGGCAGCGATAACGTTATCTGTGCGATAGGGCAGGGGTCAGGGCCGGCGGGGCGCGCTGCTGAGCAGAGGCTCCTCGCCGGGCCGGCAGCAGGGGCAGGTGGGCGCTGGTCCCCAGGCCCTGCCCACTTCCCCCGTTGGCACCTCGCTATCTGCGGGCCGAGCTGCCTGACGAACGGCAGCCGCGAGCACGGGGAGATGGCGAGCGCGGCCCCGCTGCTCCTTCCTCTGCCCCCACCTGCGGGCTCCGGTGCTCACAAGACCCGCGTTTCTTCATCTGGCAGCGAGAGCCGGGGGTCAAGAGCCGCTGCCCACCCGAGCGGCAGAGAGCACGGCTGCGGGGAGAAGCCGTGCCGGGGGCTCTCGGTGTGAAGCATTCGCGCGGGTGAAGCCTGCGGACAGAGGCATCTCCCCACCGCAGCCCTGGCGAGCCCCATCTCCCTCCGCACGGCTCGGGCCAGCAGCCGATGCCAGCTCCCCTCTCGCTGCTGCCCCCGCGCAAGCACCACAGGCGGCCTGCGCTCAGAGCCAGCTCTCACGGGGTGGGTCTAAATCCCCTCGCTCAAGGCAGGGCCCTCAGATCGCCGCTTCCTCCCGGCAGGCACCCAGGTCAGCTTCCCCAAGGCGGCGGACGCCTTCGCCTTCGAGGAGGACAGCAGCAACGACGGGCTGTCCCCGGAGCAGGCGCGGAGCGAGGGCTCCCCGGGCCCCGCCGAGCCGCCGCCGGCCGCCAAGGGCCCAGAGCCCGCCGCGGGCTCCGCGCCTCAGGTGGGCAACGGGGGGGGGACACGCGGAGCTGCAGCACCCCCTGCCGGGCAGCGCCGGTACTGCAGGGAGGGTGGTGGGGTGGGGAATAGAGGGGACTGGGGTGAGCTGGGGCAGGCTGGGGGGACTGGGGTAAACTGGGGGAGACTGGGATGAACTGGGGCAGACGGGGGGCACTGGGATGGACTGGGGTGAGCTGGGGCAGGCTGGGGGGACTGGGATGGACTGGGGGAGACTGGGGGGATTGGGATGAACTGGGGCAGACAGGGGGCACTGGGATGGATTGGGGTGAACTGGGGCAGCTTGGGGGCACTGGGATGGTCTGGGGTGAGCTGGGGGAGACTGGGGGGACTGGGATGGACTGGGGTGAGCTGGGGGAGACTGGGGGGATTGGGATGAACTGGGGCAGACAGGGGGCACTGGGATGGACTGGGGTGAGCTGGGGCAGACGGGGGGGACTGGGGTGAGGTGGGGCAGACCGTGGGATTGGGATGAGCTGGGGCAGACTGGGGGGACTGGGATGGACTGGGGAGGCTGGGAGGACCTGAAGTGGATGGGGGAGCACACCTGAAGGACTGCGGCTGGTGAGAGGGGAACTGGGCTAATCTGGGTGACAGTGACGGGGTGCACTGGAGGTGGGGTGAGGATATGGGGCTGAGGTGATTAGGGTGGACTGGGATGCGCTGGGGAGACAGAGGCCTGGGAAAGGGCTGGGATGGCCTGGGAGAGCGGGGATATTGGGCTGGGATAGATATGTTGGGGTGGGATGGACGGGGGACAGCACGGGCTGTGGGAAATGGGGTCCCAGGCACCCCTGGCTCTGGCCGCACTCCCTGGCTCCCATCACACAGCAAACCCTTCCCTCACAGGACCAGCCCTGCAGCGCCGATGGCCACGCACTGGACCCCGCAGCGGCGCAGGGCATCCAATGTGACAGCCCCAAGCAGCTGGCAGGGCAGGAGAGCCCCATGCTCCCGGTGCCCTCCGCCGTGAAGGTAGGTCCTGAGCCTCCAGGCTGCCCGGGGCTGGGATCAAGCATGGGGAACGTGGCTGTGCTCAAACCCATGTGCTGCACCCCACATGTGTGGGAGCTCTGGTGGTTGGCCTAAAGGCTTGGGATAATGCCAGGAGACGAACCTTGTCCCAGGCTGTGATTTGTTTCATTTCATAACAGTACAAGGTATAGCATCGTACCTTGCTAGAGGCGAGTGCTCAGGTTCTGCACTGCAGATGTCCCCTGGGGCTAGGAGCAGAAGGAAATACAAGGCAACACTGAAACTCCTTCATAGAATCATGGAATCGCAGACTCATAGAACAACTGGATTGGAAAAGACCTTTAAGTTTGTCCAGTCCAACCATTCTCCCAGCCCTGCCAAAGCCACCCCTAACCCATGGCACTGAGGCCTCGTCCCCACGCTGTGTGAACACCTGCAGGGACGGTGACTGCAGCCCTGCCCTGGGCAGCCTGTTCCAATGCCTGAGCACCCTCTGAGGCAGGAATTGTTCCTCAGCTCCATCTAAACCTGCCCTGGGGCAGCTTGAGGCCGTTTCCTGTTGTCTTCCAGTTAAGGAGAGTCATTCTCCATCTCATGTGCTCTCCCACACAACTGAGATGGTGCAGGGGCCTGAGGGAGTCTTCTACATGCAGGCTGAGCAGCTCTTTGAGTTGGGGGTGTCAGGGTGCTTGCAGGAGCTGCCCTTGCTCTGCCCCAGGCTTTTGAGTCCCCACAGGGGTGGCAGAGCTCTTCTCCCAGCTAATTCCTTTCCTTCTTGGACCAACAGTCCAAATCGGCGAGTGACAGCAAGAACCGTCACAAAAAGCCCAAGGACACCAAGCCCAAGGTGAAGAAGCTGAAGTATCACCAGTACATCCCTCCAGACCAGAAGGCAGAGAAGTCCCCTCCACCCATGGATTCTGCATATGCCAGACTCCTCCAGCAACAGCAGCTCTTTCTGCAGCTCCAGATCCTCAGCCAGCAGCAGCAGCAGCAGCAACAGCAGCATTTCAGCTACCCAGGGATGCACCAAGGCCAAGTAAAGTGAGTAGCAATATGTCAATAGCAGGGTTTAGTCCTGTCTCTATCCAGGTTGTTCCCTCTATACCCATTTGTGCCAGTGCAAGGGGGATATATGCATGCAAGTGAAACAATCATAGAATCCCAGACTGGTTTAGGTTGTAAGGGACCTTAAAGCTCATCCAGTTCCTGGGCAGGGACCCCTTCCACCAGGTTGCTCCAAGCCCCTGTGTCCAACCTGCCCTTCAACACTGCCAGGGATGGGGCAGCCACAGCTTCTCTGGGCACCCTGTGCCAGCGCCTCAGCACCCTCACGGGGAAGAGCTTCTGCCTTAGATCTAACCTGAACTTCCCCTGTTCCAGTCTGAACCCATCACCCCTTGTCCTATCACTGCAGTCCCTGATGAAGAGTTCCTCTCCAGCAGCCTTGTAGGCCCCTTCAGATATTGCAAGCTTGGGAACATAAAAGCTTGGAAACAGCACAGCCTCCTGCAAAGCCAGCATGGCTTTGTGCACTGGCTTGGCCACCAGAAACCTCCTTACAGCCCAACCTGGTTCTCTTTGGGGTTGGCAGCCCGTCAGGTCTCATATGGGAGATGGCAGCCCCAAAGGAGCAGAGAGATGGTACAGTGGGCACAGAGACCCCAGGGGGATAGACAAGTTACCCCAAATCTCCTTTGTTATTCCAGGCAATCAAATGAGCAAATGGTCAAAAGTTCAAATTCTTCATCAACTGCTGTCAACACCAGCCCTCTTTCTCCTGTGAAAACCACCTTTTCGGGCCAGACTTGTGTCTCATCAATCAAGCCAGGCCCTCTGCCGTCAAACCTGGATGACCTGAAAGTGAGTGCAAAGTTTGTGCAAAGGAGCAGAATCTCCTCCCCTGTATGTGCTTTGCAGTCCTCAGATTGTGCATTGTAGTGCCCCAGGCTGATCAGCAAACCAGAGGCACCACGCTGTGAGCAAACCCAGGAGTACATCACATTGGTCGTGAATCTGTTACTGTGATTGCAACTGAAAACCTGGTTTGCTGCTCTGCAGGGCCATGTGGGTGCCTTGCTCCAGGGAATGCATCAGCAAACCTTAGGTATAACTCAGGAGGGCTGCAGGCCAGGCCATCAGGTCAAGGAGTGAAGGACAATCAGTGCTGCTGCTCCTGCAGCTCACAGCTCCATGCCTTCTGTGGGTTTATGGTGGCCATCATGGATGCTGCTGGCAGACCAGCCAGAAGCTGGGATGTCAGCATGGCCTCCTCTTAGTGACTCAGCTTCTCAGTGGTCACTGCAACCAGGCCAGCTCAGCTCTCTGCACAAGCAGGTATCTCCTGGAGTCTGCAGCTACAAGCACTATGAGCACCTAAATCTCTCATGTAGGCGTGACAGGCAGGGCATGAATGAGAATCACTCATATCAACAATTCTTTTATACTTTTATTCTTTTATACTTTTGTATTCAACCGTGGGGAAGGCCAAGTCCCTTTAGAACTAGAGACCTGGGGGAAATATTCATAATTAAAGAAATAAGGTGAGGTAGAAACAGCATCAGTTTGGCCGTATTGATGCCCCAGCTCAGACATCTGAACTGTGTGCAGATGCCTGAACGTGGGATATCTGACTCTGAGGTATATGGTCACATTCCCTGAGCTAAAAGATGCCATCAGCTAGTTCCTTTAGTGTGAAAGTCCTCTGTTCATTTAGAAACCTACTGCCAGGAAGAGAGTCTTGGTTTACCTCCATGGCTCAAGGACCACTGCTGGTTCATGGAGAGGAGTCTCAGTTACTGAAGGAGGAAAGGTTTTCCTGTTAGGAGAGGTCGAGATCCTGCAGGACGTGGGGTGGTCAGGGTTGCACAGAGTGATTCTGGTGACTGCAGGTGAGACAGTGAGCCCCTGGGGGTCAGAGCTTTAAAGCAGGAAGCTGGGAGCCCGTGATCTGAGGCTCCCTATTAGAAATGCTGGGTTTCTAAAAGGATCATCTTCCTCCCAGGTGTCAGAACTGAGGCAGCAGCTCCGAATACGAGGCCTGCCCGTGTCAGGTACCAAAACAGCGCTGATGGAACGGCTGCGGCCCTTCCAGGAGTGCGGCAGCAACGCAGTGCCCAGCTTCAGCGAGATCACCACCGTCACCTTCCCCGTCACTCCAACCAGCACCCTGTCTAGTTACCAGTCGCAGTCCTCCACCAGCATGTTATCCAATGGCTTCTACCACTTTGGCAGCACCAGCTCCACACCACCCATCTCTCCAGCCTCCTCTGACCTCTCTGTGAGTGGCTCATTGCCAGACACATTCAACGATGGGCCCATGTCTTCTCCACAGTTTGGTCTCCAGCCGTCTCCAGTTCATGGCAGTGCTGAAGAAAGCCTCATGAGCAGCATGAATGGAGGGAGCATCCAGCTGGAGCTGGAAGGGATCGACACAGAGAAAGACAAAATGCTGGTGGAGAAGCAGAAGGTCATCAATGAACTAACGTGGAAGCTGCAGCAAGAGCAGAGGCAGGTGGAAGAGCTACGGATGCAGCTCCAGAAGCGAAAGAGAAATAATGGCCTTGAGGAGAAGCAGCAGCCCGCTCCTCATTTCTTTGGTGTCCCCATCAAGCAAGAAAACACAGTGTCCAGCTGTCCGTTTGCATCCAAACAAACTGCCTTGAAAGGCCAAGCCAACAGCTCGGATAAGTTGAGTAACTGTGGGGTGCCACAGCTGCCTCACATTGTAAATAGCCACTGCTTGGAGCCTGCAGGGCAAAGCACCATCACCTCCTCGACATTCCTGAGCCCGCAGTGCTCCCCCCAGCACTCCCCACTCGGGGCTGCAAAGAGCCCCCAGCACATCAGCCTGCCACCCTCTCCCAACAGCCACTATCTCCTCTCGGTGTCCCCCAGCTCAGAAGGGCGCAGTGGGTCCCCGCAGGCCAGCAGTTGCCTTCGCACAGCACCGGTAAGTGGATGCAGCCCATCGCAGCAGTGAACGTGCTGGGCTCTGTGGGCAGCCAGTCCAACATCCCAGTTTGAGTCCTTCCCGAGGAGCCCAGGACCGCTGGCACCCAGGGTGGGCACCCAGGGGGCTGTAGTGGTGCCTGGAAAGGCTGAGAGCATCCCACATTGACAATGGGTTGGAAGCTGAGGGCACCACAGGGTCCTTTGCAGGGCATCTTCTGGGGAATCCTGCTGCCACCTGGGGGACCACAGCACAGCTCCCATGCCCCATGGAGCCCTGGCACAGCTCCTTCTGCCCTGGGGGAGCCCTAGCACAGCTTCCCTCTTCCCCAGGGGACCCCAGCACCAATCGCTCTGCCCCGGGTGAGCACTGGCAAATCCTCTGCCCCACAGAGCCCTGGCACAGCTCCCTCTGCCCTGGGGGAACATTGGCACAGCTGCTTCTGCCCTAAATGAGCCCTAAGCTGGCTGCCTCTCCCCTCAGGAGGCCCTGGCACAGCTTGTGGTGCCCCTGGGAGAATCCTGGCACAGCTCCCCCCATCCCATGGAGCCCTGGCACAGCTCTATCCACAGCAGGGAAGCACCGGCACAGATCCCTCAGCCCCTGGGAGAGTCCTGGCTATATTCCTACATCCAGCTAAGCCCCCAGCATCTTCCCAAGCCATTGCAGCTCCTAGCAAGGAGCGAGGGATTTTGACCACTGGGTTGAAGGAGGGCAGTTTCCCTGGTCATATGGGAACCTTTTTCTTGGGAAGATAAAGCAGGGTTTGCAATTGGAGTCTACAGTCAGCTAGAGTGTGTGCCTCCCCACCAGGCAACCAGCACAGCAGAGTTGTCCCTTCAGCAACCACCACTCCTCATTCTGCCCTCTGCACAGGGACAAAAGCTTGGAGAGGGCACACGATGACAACACATGAAAGCATCACAAGGTGCTGCTGATCCCAGCCCCAGTTCATCCCCGTTTCTCTCTTCCCCTTGCACCAGGATGCTCTGCAGTATCATGCCTGTGCTCCAGCAGTGAGCAGAGGTCAGCCTGGCCCTGGCTCTCAGAGCTAGTCTGATGGAGCTGCTTTATCTCCCTCCCTCCTGCCTGGAAGCCAAGCACTTTGAGCTGATTTGACCCACACACCTGTGTTTCCCTGGCACCAGCCCGGCCTCACCAGGGGTGAAAGAGAGCTGGGCCTCCCTTTGCACTGACTCCATTTCCCTGTATTTCCCCATGCAGATGCCTACGCAGGCAGGTCAAAAGTTTTCTATTCCATCCCCAACTTTTTGTAAGTCAAGCCCAGCCCTCTCAGAGGTAAAGCAGCCTCCACCCTATGAGGATGCAGTAAAGCAGGTAACTGCATGGTTTTTATTTTCTATAAGGCTAGGGCTGTGCAGGGAGTTCTTTTGAGGCTGATGTAACTCATCCTCAGGAGGTATAACCTGTTATAGGGTCTCTGGGTAGAACAGGCTTGTTCCATAAGGAACAGGCTTTGCTTGAAGACTTAGGTGCTGAATGACTGCCATAAAGCAGTCAGACACCCGACTGGATGGGACAGCATCTTCTGTCCTGCTCCAGCTGCCCTGGGGCCCTGACATCCCCCTGCAGGACTTCACTGTACTTTTCTTTGGGTGCTCAGCGTGACGTGAGAAACAGACTCTTGTGCATTCCCAAGTCATCAGGAAACCTCCCCTTCCCTCTTGAGCCCATTAGCAAAGTTCTGTGCTCCATGGCATCTGCCTCCCTTCGGCTCACCCTGGAGCACTGTTCCCATGGGGAGGACTGTCTCCATCACCCGTGAGCCCCTTACTTCTTGTGACAACCTGTCTTTGGCCTCAGTGCTGGTTACGATGGTGCCTTCAGGACAGCGGAGCAGTGCTGTTGGCAGTGATTAACATGGGCTGGTGCTGGCAGGGAGGTGTGCACGAAGTCCTTCCAGGGCAGGAAGAGGAGGAAGATGATGCCCTGCCCCCTAGGCTGCAGGGAGTGCTAGGAGGCACATGCTAGTGCAAGGTGCTGTGTCCATAAAGTCCCTGTGTCCTGACAGCCCTGGGAAGGAGCAGTGCGTGGTGGCCACTGAGCAGGGTGGGGGGAACCTGGTGCTGTGCTCCCCAGATCTACTGTGCCTGTCCCATGTCCCTGCAGTGCTCACCTGAACGCCGCTGGCAGCCCCATGCTGGTGTGGCACCTCTCCTGCATGGGAGAAAGCTGTTTGTGGGGTCTAGAGCCACCTTCCTGGCTTGTGGCTGGAGGGACTCTCCTCCTAATGCCCTCTACTCTCTTTGTTGTTTGCTGCAGCAGATGACACGAAGTCAGCAGATGGACGAGCTCCTGGACGTGCTGATCGAGAGCGGAGGTAGGCACTGCTTCCCTGTTCCCCTCCAGGCCTTCCCCTCTGAGCCAGTGGCACCCCGTGGGGCTCAGTGCTTTCTGTGCACTCCAGTAGAGCTGCCTGGGTTGAATGCAGCTTTCAATTTCCCTCCCTGTGCCAGCAGCCACTGAGACTGAATGCAAAAGCATGTTGGCCCTCCTGGAGCCTGCTCCTGAGGACCTGGTGGGCGGTCTGGGCTTGGTCACCACCTATGCAGAGAGAAGGGACAGAAGGCAACAGCCTGTGCACAGCACTGCCAGCACCCTCCCCATGCAGAGCCTCCTGCCCTCCACCACTCCCAGTGCTGCCAGTGCCGTCTCCTGCATAGAGCACTGCCAGTGCCCTCCCCTGTGCAGAGTGGTTGCCTCTGCCCTTCCCCATGCCCGTGGGGACAGCTGCCAGTGCTCGTGCCCTAGGGACAGTGTCCAAAGCCAGGGAATCAAGGTCAGAAAGCAGGAACCTGCAAGGCTTCCCACAAGGAGGGTGGGTGAGCAGTGCCAAGGGGGTTGTGTGGGGAGCGGGTCTCCGTAGGCTGAGGTGATGCCCCTGTGCCCAGCAGCGGTGAGCACTGCCAGAGCACCTCAAACCCCTCACATCTGTTGACAGAAATGCCAGCCAATGCCAAGGAAGATCAGTCCTGCCTCCAGAAAGTACCTCAGATAACGGTGTCTACAGGGAACTCCAGCACCGCGCTCCCCAAGGCATCGGCCCCGTTTGAGCAGGTCTCCTCAGCCCAGCTCCCCTTCGAGCACTGCCCGGGCAGCGGTGACGCTCACCTCGAGGTGCTGCTGAGCGCCCACAGCCCCCTGGGCAGGGTCAGTGAAATCGCCCTGCTGAAGATGGGGGCAGAGGAGTCCCACTTCGAAGGGATGATGGAGGGGTTCCCCGGCAAGGCCGCCGATGAACTGCTCCCCTCTCAGGAGATCTTACAGCCTCCCCTCTCGCCCATGGACACCCAGCTCTCCCCTTCCCCTGCCGACGGCGCCGGTTTACAGATGAGCTTCACTGAGTCTCCATGGGAAACGATGGAGTGGCTGGACCTGACCCCCCCCAGCTCCGCCACCGGCTTTGGCTCGCTCACCCCAGTGGCTCCCAGCATCTTCAACATTGATTTCCTAGACGTTACCGATCTCAACCTAAACACCAGCATGGACCTGCACCTGCAGCAGTGGTGAGAGGGAGGGTGGTGGAGGCAGGACGCAGCAGCCAGCACAGTGTTCCTGTCATGCCGGGGAACGCACAGGGCGAAGGTGCCACATCCAGGGGAAACTGGAGTCATTTTCCCAGCATATAAACTGAATATCCAGTTATGGCCAATCGACAGCACAGTTGCTCTGGTAGCTTGGTTTTCCTCCATCGACACGTCCCCACAGAGGACAGCAGTGCCTTTAATGCTTCTTTAGATTGAAAAGAACTTTGGTTCCCTTTCTTTTCTCTTTCCCCCCTTCCCAGTTTTAGCAGCCACTCTTGTGAGAACTGGAGCAGCTCATGACAAAACTCTGTGATGAGGAGACCTCACCTTGGTGGCAACAGGAAATCTTGGAGAGGATAGCCTGTTGCTGCCCTCTCCTCCTGCCCGCCTCGCCCTTCAAGCAATCCTGCTGGGCTCATCCTGGCCATGCCCAGGCAGGGATGTGGGATCAGGGAGGCTCTGCCCAGCCAGGGTGACAAGCACACTTCTCCATACAGCCAGGCTCGCCGAGCTTCCTGCCTCCACCGCTGTGTTGCCCAGTCCCTGCACAGCTCTGCCCCATGTGGATGAGAGGTGGAGACCCCCCGTATTCGTGGTATCACCTTGTCATGTCCTCATGGTGCCTCAGGGGCTGAAAGCCCAGGAGCCATCCTGGCTGCAGTCTGAAGTGGATCAGGCTGGAGCCTGTGATCGCTGGATGTTGGAGGCAGCTGCTCAGGCTGCACAGGCAGGTACCAAAGGGATGTGGAGTCCCAGTGAAGCTGCTGCACCCCAGCTAGCACGGTACAGATGAAGAGATGTGTAATGTGTTTTGGTCCAAGGTAGGAGCAAGTCGTACAGAGAATACAGCCCTTTGGAGGGGCTGACCTTTGCACAGCCAGAAGTCAGGATGGATTTCCACCACCTTGCATGACCTGGGAGCAGGGAGAGCCAGAAATGGACACTCAGCGGCCGGCACATGGGGCAGGGTTGAGCAGGTCCTCGCGGGGCTGCAGTTCTGTGCAAGCATCTGCTGTTGTTGCCTCCACTCCTCAGCCATCTCCCATTCCCACTCCCTCCATTCTTCCCATCCCTCCTCAATCCCCATCAGTCATCCCCTGGTTCCCAAGTTTACTCCAGCATCACTGCTCACAGCCCAGAGCAAGGCCACCCGGAGAACGGCTGTGAATCACTGAGCCTGGAGGAGCTAGTTCTCCTGAAGCTGGCAGAGACGGATGCTCTCCTGCAGTGATGCCTCCCATTTGAAGTCACCAGCATTTCTCCTATGAGTCTCTGTGCAATATATTTCCTCAGGCTCTGGAGAGAAGGAGCCTTTGCTTCACTTGGCTTCCACCAAAGACCTTGCTGCGGACTTGTCTGACGGACACGTCTACTTCTTTGCAATTCTGGTTTTGCCAAAGTAAATATTGTTGCTGACAAAGATTGTTAAACTATTTACAGACTGAGCGTATTTAATATTTGTGTTACTGGAAAGACAGCACATCGGAGGTGCAGCAGCCGGGGGGGGAAACCGGCCATGGTTCCCATGGGATGCTCCCCCCAGGGATGCTGGAGCTGTCGAGGAGGCTGTGCAGCCCCTGCTGCGCCTCCAGCTCGTGGCGTTGTTGCATGCTGTATAAAGCACGTGGCAGTAGCTCTCAAGTCGCTGTTTAAAGCACCACTTTTCTATTGTACAAATGGTCACAGTGCACTGCCAGGGTAGGGGGTCACAGGGTGCATTTTGTAAAAGAATTCCTTTTTCTAAGTGAGAGATTTTCCCAAGCCAGTCCCTGCAGAGTATCACCAGCACCTGAACCAGAGTAGTGTTAGCTGCTGCACTGCGGCACTGTACAGGCCTGTCCAGGTAACTTCCTCCTCTAGGCAAACCTAGTTCCTTATTTAAAGGGATGCTGTCAGCTTCAATCTTGTAAGCAAGCACATTTCCTTACCTATGTTACCAGCAACACCTTCATTATTAAAACCCTTTTGTCTTGACGCTCTTGTTTGCTGTTTGATTTCACCATCTGGCATCAGCCCCGTTCCCAGCTCAGCTCAGTCCTTGCAGGAGCAGACGCGTTTCTTTCACAGCACCAGTTTCTCCTGGAAGATTCCTGAGCGAGCTGACTGGAGTCTCCTGTTTCTGAAGGCTTTTTCTTCTCACAGCTTTGGCTTCACTTTGTTCTGTAAACCTGGGGTCAGTGACCCCTTCAAAGGCAGTGGTGGGCACCCTGCCCAAACCCTTTGCAAGTTCCATGTACCCATTAATGTCATTTTCCAGATTCTTTCTTCTGCCTAAAAAAGGGTTCCCAGGACATTCACTCACTGTCTGTGGGGGTATTCCTGGTGTGTCTATGGTGGGAAGATCCGGAGACATTGCAGAAGTGAGTCTGAGATGCAGTTGAAAAACACTGTTAAACATGTTCAGGTTTGAGTCAAACACATTCATGTGTTCAACGTCTTCAAGTTTAGCGACTTTAAGATGTTCATGGACTAGGTCCTATAAACATCTTGAAGTCTCTAAACCACAGCCTGCAACCGAGTGTGCTGTGATAAGTGGCGTGCACTGAGCCAAGCTGTCAGCAAAACCTCCACCTTAAGAGTTCCAGAGGGCTGACTTTGGCCTGTTCAGGATGTTGGTTGGCAGAATTCCTTGGGAAACATTACTGAAGGACAAAGGGGTCCAGGAAGGGTGGATGCTCTTCAAGAATGGAATACTTAAGGTGCAGGCATGTGCAGTGCCTATGTCCAGGGAAAAGAGCAGCCTGGCTGAACAGGGAGATAGTGCTGGAACTCAGGTGAAAAGAGAATCTGTGAGGTATGGAAGAAGGGACAGTCACCCCATGAGCAGTACAGGGTGTTTAGGTGATACAGGGAGAAAGAAAGGCGAAGGCACAGCTGGAACTAAATCTGGCCACTGCCATAAAGGATAATAAAAGGGTTGGAAAGTGGCTGGATGGCCAAGCCCAAGGGAGGTGCTGATTGATGGAGCTGACCATGAGCAGCGTGTGCCCAGGCAGCCAGGGAGCCCCCAGCATCCTGGCCTGTACCAGCACCAGTGCGGCAGCAGGGCCAGGGCAGGGATTGTGCCCCTGCACTGGGCACTGGTGAGGCCGCACCTCGAATCCTGGGTTCAGCTCTGGGCCCCTCACTGCAAGAGAGACACTGAGGTGCTGGAGTGGGGCCAGAGAAGGGAATGGAGCTGGAGCAGGGCCTGGAGCACAGGGGTGATGGGGAAGGGCTGAGGGACCTGGGGGGTTCAGTCTGGAGAAGAGAAGGCTCAGGGGGACCTGATGGCTCCCTACAAGTGCCTGACAGGAGGATGGAGCCAGGAGGGGCTGGGCTCTGCTCCCAAGGAACAAGGGATGGGACAAGAGGAAACGGCCTCAAGCTGCACCAGGGCAGGTTTAGATGGAGCTGAGGAACAATTCCTGTCCCAGAGGGTGCTCAGGCATTGGAACAGGCTGCCCAGGGCAGGGCTGCAGTCACTGTCCCTGCAAGTGTTCACACAGCGTGGGGACGAGGCCTCAGTGCCATGGGTTAGGGGTGGCCTTGGCAGCGCTGGGTAAGGGTTGGATTGGATGAGCTTAAAGGGCTTTTCCAGGTGAGTTGATTCCATGGTTCAAAGTTATGGTTAACTCAGAGAAAGGGAAGACATCCTCAGTCTAGGATTGCTTCAGGAATGTTGATGGACCAGAGCACTCACCTGTCCCACCTGCCCATTGGACAAGCCTGCTTGTATTGCTCAACCGGCAGAAGAGACGGGAGGATGTGCTGCCAGTGTCCTGCTGGAAGTGAAGGCAAGAGGAGTCACAGCCTTCAGGGTCAGGAAAGCTGCTTATCAGGTGCTCAGGTTTGGAGCAGAGCATCTGGGGAGGCCGAGTCCTGACCAAGGACCTGCTGGGGGTGGAGAGAGGGATCAGGGATCTCCTGTGGTCTCCTCCCAAGCTCTGAAGGATGGGGCAGCAGGGGCCTGGGGCAGAGCCCAGGTCAGCTCCATCCCCATGGGAGCAGCCTCCTGTGTGAGCACAGGCCATGGGGCAGGACAGGACGTGCTCTCCCTCCCCATTGCCCAGGGGCATTCCACACTCAGCCTTCTGTGTGGGGTGATGTTCCCACACCAGCTGTCCCAAAGGATTCAGTATCCCAGGGTTTTCCCACCTGTCGACGCCAAGCTGGAGGATCCCGGTGATGTCCCACTCCCCCTGGGCCTTCCTGCCTGTAAAATACAGGAAATACAAAGCCAGAAGATGTTCCAAGAGTCAAACGAACCCTTTCCGTGCCTTTGGGAAGTGTTTAACGTGAGAGGCCTGGCTCGGTGCACCATCCTCCGCGAGAGGCACCGAGACAGCAACAGCATCTTTCCATCAGCTCCAGCCCAAGCCAGGCCGTGGTTTGGGCAGTTTCCCTCCCCGAGGACCCGGTGAAACATCCATTTCTCAGCCTTTCCGGGCTCAGTGGGGAACCCTCTGCCCTGGGCTGGGGGGGGATGAGAAGCCCGCCCGTGCCCATCGGGTCCCTCTGCTCATCCCTGCCCGGGCACCACAGAGCCTCTACCCCCGTCTCACCCCGGCTTCCCCGGGGGGAGCAGGACCTCTCCTCCCCATCCATGAACGTTCTGCACCCCCGGACCCGCTGCCACCCTGCGCCTGAAAGGAGGCCCCCGAGGACGGGGGCTCCCCGCTGAGCGGGGCGCACCGCGGCGCGGCCGGCACAAGGCAGCAGTGCGGGGCTGTGTCCACAAGAGGGAGCTCGTGCTTCATCCCGCCCGGACGGGCTGGGCGAGACCTTGGAGGTCCGGACCCGGCGCCCCCAGCGCTGCCGAGGCCCCCCCTGCCCCCGGCACGGAGCCCTCATCCCCGGTTTAGCCATAACGGGAACGTTCCTGAGCTGCTTCCTCTTTCCTTACCCCCCAGAGCAGCCGCTCCTTGCCCTGGGCATGCCCCGGGCAGCGACCACACTTGTGGTTTGTATCAGGAGCCAAAGGCAAAATGTTTGGGTTTTTTCCTCCTATGGCATTAACCCAGGCCCAAGACTTCATTTATACCTAACCCGGCCACCAAGAAGAGGCTGGGATGAAGGCTGAGGGAAGCCAAGCAGAAGATGAATGGAAACACAGAGCACAAACCCCAGTCAGGAATAGGTGTTGGTGCACATGTGCATTCGTACTGCTCGGATCCAGGCAGGGATGCGTTTGAACACATCCAAACCTCAAAGCTGGTCCTGGAAGAAGCCAGGATCGAGCCATATGGACCTGGTCATGGTGCCAGAGGAGGACTCCCAGCCCCAGGGCAGGAGGAAGCCATCACCCATCACCGCAGCAAGGAAGGTTGGAGCTGTCCAAGGCTCGAAGCAGCAGCAGCTGTGGCACTGTGCAGGTGTGGGTCCTGTCTGAGAGCAGCAGCAGCTCTGGGATGTGGGGTGCAGGGACACAATGACAATGGGGTCCTCAGCACAGGCAGTGGAGTCCAAATGAGCGTGGAAGAGTCTACAGGAGGCAAAACAGGGCATGAGCTCAACGAGGAGCAGCTGAGAGGACCTGAAGTGGCCACAAAACCGCCCCTTCTGCACAGCACAGTCACAGGGGAAAGGGACGAGAGGGGTCCCCTCCCTCCCGCAGGGCATGGGAATACCCAGTGCGGGAATGGACTCACGCAGCCACCAGCCTCTTTCAGCTCCTGCAGCTGTGGCAGCTTCCCAGAGAAGAGACCTCGGGATGCAAGCGGGCGGCAGCACCACAGGAACAGAATCCCAGGGCAGCTCCGATGATGGGAGAAGGCTGCAAGGTGAGGAGCTGGATCCTTGTCTGCCCGGCAGGGAAAGGCTCTCCCTGGTGTGCGGTCAGGTTCTGTCTTCCTCCAGCAGATCCGGGATGCTGGATCCTGGCTGAGGGCTGCAGCTGGGCCCAAAACATCCCAAGTACTGAGCTGCTAACAAGAACTTCCCAAAAGAAGGCTTGGGGTGGTGGAGGCACTGACTGGGTGCACACTGACAGGCTTGGACCTCTCACATGGTGCATCTCGACACAGCAAGGCTTTCCTCAGCTCTTGTCTGCCTTCCACTGACAAAACTGCAAGAGGCACCGCAAGAGCCAACGCCAGGTTGCTCCAGCCATTGGGAAGTACCTGTGCCCCTGAGCTGTGCAATGAGCAATGATCCCCTCACCGAGCTGGGCGCTCCCGGTCCCATCAAGCCAGGGTGAGCACCACAGGTAGTCACAGCTGCCCCGACACTGTCTTCTTTCCCAATGGGGCTGTTGGGGTCCTGCTTTGCCCACTCGGCAGCCTCCAAGCCCTCCACGGCTTCCAGGCAGGAGACACTGACCCCAGCATCCCGGTAGCCCCCTGCAGACACTGGAAGCGGCTCCGAGGTCTCCAGTGCAGCTTCTCTTCTCCAGGCTGAACAGCCCCCATGGTCCCAGCCTGTCCAAAGCAGCCCGCAAGCTGTGAGCACTGCCTGTCCCTTCCCTGCAGTGTGGGCAGTTTCCTGTCCCGCTCACTGGCACAAGGTGTCCTGAGCCACCAGAACCTCCCCGTGCACCCAACGGGGCTCACCTGAGGCACCCCAACAGCACAGAGGGCTCAGCTCTCTTACACTGAAACAGGTCTCCCCCCACTTGAGGTTTGCTATTATTTGGCATAAGCACTTCCGAAGGCAGCTTTTCTCCTGCCTCCACCTGGAGGAAAACCCTGGAAGCTGGGAATTTCAACAGCTTTTAATGAACCTTCCCATTCGTGCCTGAAATGAACGCAACAAGGTCACAGTCGCATCCCAGTTTTATTATGACCTGCAGGCAAAAGGATAGAACTATTACATAAACACTCTGATCCATGATATATCTTAAATAGAGGAGGAAGTCAAACCAGGATCCTGGATAAAATACTCTGAAGCTCTCTGAAACAGTTACATTCCTGAGCTCCATCTTTACAGACAATAAGGCAACATCCCTGCACATCAGCTTTTGGATCATTTTTATACATTTTTTTATGGTACAAGAG